CCATTAAGCCAACGTCTAGTGGAGGAAAATCTTCCAGTTTAAAATATATTTACACATTACCCTGAAACACTTTTTTGAGATGAAGGGAAAGACAACATTAGCTCACGAATAATAAAGGTAGAAAAATACAGAATTTCTGAATCTCAGAGGAAAAAAGGCACTTCTGCTTTTTAACCGAAACAATTTAGGCAGTGAAGCTGATATACGACAGCTGAGGAAATGAAACTGCGATCAGAGGGGGATGCATTTTAGTAACTGTTCAAAAACGTACACTACATGCATTACATAGATTAGACACATTTTGATATATTTAACCAATTTCATTTATTCATTTTGATGATCAAAGCTTGGAGAACAAAGTGCATAGCTAATAACTTAATTTAGGAAAACTTAAGAAAGTTTACTGGAAGGAAAAAGTGCAGTGACCATATTTTACAGGCAATTACCGAAGAAGCTTGTGTCCTAGCAGATTGATGGTGTTTAGAGGAAGGGAAACTTTTATAAAAAGGCGCATTTGCAAATGTGATACTGGGAGCATTATAGTCATTTGAGAGTTTGAAGAAGATTTTCTAGGACTGAGAGGACTAAATGTTTTATTCTGACTAAAGGACTCATAATAAACCAAAAAACACTGCAAAAAATGTTTATCTATGTCTCTTTTTTTCTTAAAGATTTAATTTGAGCAGATAAGGGACACACTTTACAATTTACATTTAAAATAATTTCAGCCTTTTATTTCAAGTGCATAGTATCTAATTGTGTTATTTTAAGGGCAAAATACTAATTTTGTTGGCAGACCATCTTAATTCTTCAAATCTGGGGTGAATAGACTTATTTTAGGAATGTTTTACTCTTCTTAAGATTGTTGCATTGCGTAATGGACGGTGCAGGGGCTGAGGATCCAGGCTTCACTCAAGTCATGGAGGAAGTTTTTATACTCTGATCATTTGGTTACTTAGCTCATCTGCTGCTATTGATTCTCTGCACTTTAGAAAGTCCAAACAGCAGTAAACCAGTATCCTCTTCCTACCGAAAAGTTCTAAGGACTTGGTACCTGTATCTAATGCCAAAAGTTATACCTGCTTTAATCAACAAAGTTCTGCCCTCCCATCCTGATTTTCTGACGCCCTCAAAGAATTTATAAAATATTGTCAAGAAGATGAGACACCAGAACCAATGATGTAGAGAAGCTTAAAGCTGCTGCTGAAGATACGTTGGGTTCATGAACACATCAGCAGTGAACACCACAAACGCAACCGTCTGATGGCCTCCATGCATTGGTGAACCTATACATGCCATGGAGGCATGAATCAACATTTCAATAGAAAATGCTTTAAATGGTGTAATATTCAGATTTTCGGGAAAAAAGCTAATGGGTTTTTATTTGCTTTGAGCCTTGATCATCAAAATCAACACAATTAAATGGTTGAAATCTATCATCCTGTGTCTAATCTAAATAACACAACTTTTTATTTGATTTTCCATATTCCCCTGTACAGATATGCATCTGAATGTGCTTCAAAGATCAGAAATCCATTTTAATCCATATAAAACAAGAGTGCATAGATAAACTGCCTGCAAATGGACGGACTGAAGCTGAAGACGCTTGTTGCAGGAAAAAAAACAAAAACGTAATTGAATAATTAAAATCTCCATATTAACAAAGTTAAAAACATAACATTGCTGCCTGTAATCACATATCAGCCTCTGTTCAAGTTCTACAGAAGCAGAAAAAAAAACAATACATCCATCTTCACATCAAAGCCACAAACCGAATGTTAATTTCAGAGAGATGTCAGCTCCTATGTTTTAATCGTTTTGTTTTTGCCGAGAAGTAAAAGAAATCACAGCTTTTAATGGAAAAGTTAGAATTTTTCGGAAATAAAAGGGTGTAAAATAACTCCAGAGGTGCCACTTGTGTTAAAGAATTAGGATTAATGAAGTTAATCTTTTGGTTGAGTCAGTGTCAATACCCCAAATTAGTAGAAAGAGGAGGAAAGCTGAGTGAACCCAGAGAGGAGAACTAAACAAGCAGCACTGGCGGCACTTCAAATAATGAAAAAATAAATAAAAATAATAAACTCCCTGAAAAAGCAGCAAGTAGTGGCCAACTGAAAGCCAAACAAGCATTTTATCCAGAAAGACTGAAACACTGAGGTTGTTTTGATCCCAGAGTACCTCATATTGGCAGGGTGCACTGGTGTGTCTCTAAGCAGTATAGATGCTCCCAAATGGCCCAGCGTTGGTTGTTCCATCAATAAGCTGAACGGGGAGAAGTGCTCGTCGAACAGACAACAGCTGGAGATAACTGTAATGCTGCCGCCCCCACGGGAAAAAACAAAAATAGCTGGCTTTAGACGGTCTTCTATAAATCTGGCCAGTGTCAGCTGTAAATAACCCCCCCTTTTATAATATGCACTGATGAGATTTTCTGCTCTACACATTCACAGTAACATTAATCCCTTTGAGATGACTAATGTGAAGTATTCTGCGCACAGATTGAGATGAGTGCTGCAGTAACTAATGGCAGGAGAAAGCATCTTCAGGGATTATAGTGACTCTCGAAAGTGGACACATAACGGTTAGAAAGCCTGTTTTTATGGAGTGGAAACAAAACAAGAGAGAAAAAACATCTTTTAACGTTTTCCACCATTAAAGATAAATATCCTGAACAATTTAACTGAAGGAAAAACCCTTAAAAGTACTAATGTTAAAGTAGATTTCAAAAAGAATTCAGTCTGCTTTGATAAACGGCTCAAACTCCCTTAGTAGTGTTCATCAGGAGGACGTGTCTCCTCATCTGCCCTCTTCAGGTGACACCAAAGGTTAAGCTCTGCATTCTGGCTGTCTCAAAAACTTAGATTTTTTTCTCTTGAAGTTAATTCCTGTTTGACTGGATGCATTCTTGAAATCAATCCTGAGGAAAATTTAATTTGGGTCAAAAATGACTGCTATGTGGAACTGATCTAATTCACTAAAAAAAAAAAAAAAAACACCTTAGGGAACATTACCGGTACTCCCCATCATGATGCAACCACCACTGTACTTAAAAATGGGGTATTGTTTTCCCTTTGCAATGCTGCTAAAATATTAAATATTTGATCCAAAGCTTTAGATTTATCATAAAGGATGAAACAAAAATCTGTTTATAGAAGATTTGTGTCCAGATCTGCACGGTTACTTTGTAAAAAAAAAAAAAAAAAAAAGTTCACCATGGTGTGTAGAACCCATTTCTTCTGTCTCTTCATGTCTCCTTTTGCCAGATTAGCTTTATTTTTCAGTTACACTATTCAGGTTATCAACGTTAAAGGTGGAATATACTTGGGAATCACTAATATTTCAAATTTATAATGGACTTAATGACATTTTTGAGATCTACAATGGATAGATCTAGATTTAACTGGTCATGTGTAGCTGGTTAAGAAAGCGCTGCTGACCCGGAAGTATAAGCGGTGCCCTGAAGTAGCTTACACCCCCCAAGACGACTAACAGAGCGGTCTAATAAGAGACGACCGGCAGGGCAGCAGTTGGGATTGAGCAGAGACTGTGAGAGCAGCGGTGAGGGAGCCCCTTTCCAGGGTGCACTTTCCAGCTAGTCTGTGTGTGTATGTGTGCGTGTCGTCTGTGAGTAAAAGTCGTGGCCATTTGCTGGTTTTAATTGTGTTAGTCCGTGAACCAGACCAGGGTAATAACATTCATGAGAACAGGTTAAAAACACAAGACAAAAATATCAGCAAGTTAGTAAAATTCTTACTAAGAATGTTTTATTAAAATAAATGCCAAGAGGTTAATAAGAAAAATAACAGCATACACCATGAAAACTAAATGCAAGCATGTAAAAATACTTATGACAAGGAAACTAATAAAGTAGCTAATGAGTTAAACAAGCTGGGAGTTGGCAAGAAAACAAAAATCTAACAGAGAGAAGGCAACACTCCCCACAGGAGACAGGTCAAGATGGAGAAGAGGTGGTGGTGGGAGGAGGGGAGGGGGGGAGGAAGGGTGCTGTGGGTTTCATAAGAAAAAAAAAAAAAAACACTCAAACATGTTTAACATACATATAAAATGAGATTAGAAAAATACATTATAAACCTGTAACAATGGCTGTTAATTACATTATCATACATGTAGTAGGCAGGCCAGAGAGAATACGGTAGGTATAGAGTCAACCTTTCACCTGATGGACTTATCCAGCCTTTCACAATGACACAGCATGTTGGAACATTGCAGAGGGAAACTTCTTAATACTGTCAAATGCTGATTTGCCATCTTTTTCTCCACTTTAATATTGCATTTCAATTTAAAAATCATAACACTGAAGGAAAAATAAAATCATTGACCTTTGGGTGTAACAGCACGGTGCGAGAGAGAGAGAGAGACAAAAAGACTGCCGACGGCTCTGTTAGATCCGAGTTTGTCAATTTCATTTCACCTTTCAGCAAGAAGCTGTCAGTCGTTTCAATAACTGGAAACTATCTGACTGTGAAGCAGGTGCTGGTTTCATTACCCAGTGCTTCCTTAGTCCATTAGAAATCTCATTACTGTACTGATGGTTTGTTGTCAAATTGAGACAGAGATATGTGGACCAGATGCAGCTGTTAAAACAAACACTTTCCTACTTGTTTCGCTGAACGGTTTGTATTGTTCTCAGCTCATCATAACGACTTCTGGCAGACTACTTGGTTGCTAATGGCAGTTTGATTTGTTCAAAGAAGTTAGACAATCAAAGAGAAAACAAAAAAACAATTCATTTCATCAATAAAATCGAGAGAGAAAAAAAGGATCTGCTCGTACAGCAGGAGTAAAGGGCCATCAAGTTAAGGAAAAAAGAAAAACTTAAAATCATTTCAGGAAGACAAAAACCATGGCACATATTTTAGCTGGTCAAAACGACTGCTATTCTTTTTGCATAGAGTAACTTGGGCCGCGCTGCCCTACGGTGGGAGCTGCCCAGCTCGTCTTTTCAGAGCGTGTAACGCTTCCCGTTCCTCTCTGCGCCATCTTGGTGGGTGCTGGATATCTTTTTTTTTTTTTTTCTAAAAACACAACTGGAATACTAAAAAACAGAAACCACTGTTGATAAGGCACTTTGATTTGACCCATTTAGGCGTCTCTCGCTCGGATCTCGCCGGTTCTGGTCTTCATTTTCCGATTACTTTCCAGGAAACAGCACTTTTCCCCACTTACGTTCTGTTTTCCTTCTAAACATTTTTTTTGTATCTTTTTCATTATTATTTTATAACTGCAAGTAAAGTATCAAAAGCTAAAATTGCCAAAAATAGATTTTAAACTATTTTTTCTCATCTCCAGCACCCTGTAAAATTCTCTATTTTTGTTCTCTTCTGTAATTTTATATGCATTGACAGGTATCTACATTTTTATATATTTATAGATATTTATAGATATATATAAGACGTATGTATAAAGCAATTTGAACAGGCAGGCATGGCTTTCACATCCTATTTTTTCTTGAGATTTGAACAAAGGATTGTGGGCTCAGAGCTGGACTACCATCAGAGGGAGGTGTGACACATTGTGGATGCACTTTGAATGGTTTGGCATATGTTAGGTTTCATTAGTAAAATAACTCAAAGGATAATATGCAGAAAGGTCAGGATTATGTCGACCTCATGCCCCAACTTATACACACAGACAGAGAACAAAACAATATAACTAAATAGAAAACTAAAAGGAACAGAACATCCACTGTAGGAGGAATAAATCTGCTAAAATAGGCCAAAATTCTACAGTAGAAAAAAAAAAAAAACCTCTTGTTTGTCATGAGTGTCTTTTCGCCTAGCACTAAACGAGCATTACTGTAATGGTAGCATGTAATTTTAGTGTTAATCGCCTGTTTACACCTCAGGAAGATAAGAAGACATAAAACTGAGGGGTAAAGGGTCAGAAATCTGTCTGCTCCAGCTGAAGGCAGAAAACCAAAACTTTAAAAATCACAAAGAGAGCCCTCTGCGAGACAGATGCATAACTGCAGATATATCATTCACTGAAAACCCTTTGGCTAAATATGCACACAATACTTTTTTTTTTCTTTTCTTAATCTTTGTGATCACAGCTCAGCTAACTCATCGAGATATTCTTCTAAAATACATCAGGCACTGGATAGTGGATGTAGTGTGAAAGGGGCCCATGGCCCCAAAGCCTCAGCACACTCCACTTTCATTGTAGTATTAATCAAAACACACACACACGCACACACACACACAGACCCATCAACCCAAACACTAACCCTCCCGTCACGCCTTTCATTTTCAGCCTCAAACACTAAACTCTGTCCTGACTTTCAGAGATAACCACCTGCTTTGTTTCAGCTACTGAAGCTAATTAGTCCAATCTGAACCAAAAAATAAAAAACAATAAAGTGAAAAGCATTAAATCAAGACAGAAAAAAACACAAATCATAAAAAAAGCTCACTTAGCAATCATTTAAGCCATGCTTTAAAAAAACAAAACAAACAAAAAAAAAACCAGACAGAAAGCCTTTTAGAGGGGCACACCCAGAATGTGTCAGCTCATAATTACAAGCTCAACAACTGAAATACATGTTGGGAAGGAGGGGAGGGGCAAAAAAATGACAGAAATTAAACACGTTAATGCAAGTGACTGTTCCCGTTCCTTCTGTTTCTCTGTCCGCTGCTGCAGGCGGGGGTCTGAACTGGGTGAGGGTGGGCGGGGTGTTCTAACACGAAAGGTTTTGGGGCAATTTGGGGGTGATCATGTCGTCACTCTGAAACCAGAAACGGTTTGTCTCAGACTGCAGATGGAGAACGAGTGAGGTCACCTAATCAGAACATTTACAGGCAGGTCGGCGGGTGTTTGGGGCGGGTGGGGTGGGGTCTTTATTGCTTTATAATTCAGTGCAGATTCATGAGTAATATGACAAACAGATCCACCCGGTGCATGATTCATGAAGAAAAAGAAAGAGAAAGAATGGGAACTGAACTAATGAACAGAGGAGAAAAATGAATAATCCACAGCTGTGTTGGTTGTTTTTTTTGTTTTGTTTTTGTTGCGTTTCAGTGAAGATTCTGCGTTGGTTTCTATCTTTTGTCAGAACGTGTTAGGGTAACTGTACGGGCAGGCGCCTCTCTCTCTGCCACTTGCGTCCAAGAGGCTAGCAAAAGGCAATTACCAGTTAACTGATCAGCAGGCAGGCTTGGGGCGGCTCGTCATTGGGTGAAGAGTTCAGAGGTCAGAAGGTCATGTGTTAGTTGCCGGTGGCGGCTAGGTGGTTAGAAACAAAAACAAAACAAACAGAAACAAAAAAAGATAGAAAGGATATTAGTGTCAGCAAGGAGAGACTGGAATGACATCATTTTAACAATAAAATGAATGCAATCTCACATGTGGCCATCCCCCCCCTCCCCCAGCTGCTATGAGGTGAACCCAGCTAATCTGAAAATCATGACGCCATCATGATCCCCCCCAAAATGCTAAGCCACACTCCCTGAATCAGGTAGCTAGGCGGTTGGGTTTATTTAAGCGCAAACTGCCCCGAAAAAAACACAAAACAGAAGCAAAGTAAAGCCGAAAATAAAACTAAATTAAAAAAAGACAAAGATGAACAAAAATCTAGTGGTTTAGTGTCTTTCACAAACAGTGTGATTAGTGGTAAGCTGATAAAAAAAAAACTAAAGCTACGGAGTGAAATAACGGCTCAATGTGCAATAAATAGATGAATCAATGCTTTCTGATTCTTTATTTTGCAGTATATTTTTATATAATATAAATATACACAAAACCATAAATACATTTGATATAAAATGTTCCAAATATAAAATGACAGTACCTCGTGTACAACTGAAATATATATATTTATTAAAAAAAAAAGGATTTTAGCTTTATTTTAATAGATTTGCAATACACTGCAAAGAATGCAAGCTACCTCCACTAAAGTCTGTGCGCCTCTATTTTTCTAGAAAAATAATCCCAAAGAAATGATAATCCCATGGTGAAAATGGCGGCTGGTAGCAGCGCAGCTACTCTCAGATACAGTATAGAAAAACTCCTCCTTTGCTCCTTATGAGCAGAGGAGGTAAATCATGGATGGGAGCAAACCTGCTCCTTTTTTTGTCTCTAATTTCACATCAGAGGAATGTCATTCTACACCTTAAAACACTGCCTGATAACTATTCATCGCTTTTAGCTTCACAGCTGCATGAGCCAAATCTCTTAAGATCGCTTTTGCCTGAGCTTTGATTTAAACACAGTCTGTTGTTTTTAAGTACTACATGTAAACAAAATGTGCATAACAACACTCAACCATTTAGCAGGTGTGTTGATTTACAGGCAAACCTCAGTAACTTGGAATAGAACTGAGAAGTTCAATGATTCAGTCCAGAATAAACCATAGAGTCAATACAAACAGAGTGATAAAAGTCTTTTTTTCTGTTCAATTTGATGATGAGGCTTACAGCAAACAAAAACGCAATGAGTCACAAATGTTTCCTGCTAAAGAAAATGTATGTTTCCAAGCATTTTATTGGAACATTGAATGGAGAGAATACGTTTGGTAGATTTTAAACTGCAGTTTCTCTTACGGGAAAAAACAAAACAACAAAAGCTATTTTTTTATATAAGTTCAAAATCACATAATTCATACAATTATGCTTAAGCTAACTTTACATTGCCTAGCTGACAGTAATATCTCAGCTGTTTAACCCTGATGAATAGCAACAGAACAAGGGAAACATTTTGTATTTCATTTAAAAAAACAAACTTTCCTGCTTAAAAGGCTATTTCATCATGTCCTTTACTGGCCAGCTAACTGTGCTGACCTCATTGAGAGCCGATGGTGTCAGAGGCGGGATAACAAATCAGAGCCAACAAGAAACCAGCTGAGAGCCAATAATTGAAACAACCTAGGTTTCCTGAACACATCAGTAGAACCACAAGCAGATCTCCCTCATATCAAATCACATTTATGCAGTAAATCTTGTAGAAATCCAGATCAAGTATAAAATCTGCAAACTTTACAGATCATGGAGACTCTTTTCACTGGTTCCATAATTCGGTTTTAAAATCTTATAGTCATTTTCACTCTGGTGTTTTTATTAGCTGTAAGCCACAATCAAATGCATTACTTTGCCAGTAATGGATCTATAAGACATAAAGATGTAACTTTCTGAACTGGTTTACTAAAATAAATGAACTTCCTTTTCAATCCTATTCCAAATGAGAGATTCTCCTGTGCAAAAAACAATGAAAACACAATACAGGTAATGTACACATTTCTGACTAAGGCAGTGAGGCATAATAGGCATAATAATCATATAAATGCATCAATCAATAGCAAAGAGTAGCTAGGAGACTAAACTGACCTCTGTCAGCGGTCACAATCCTTTGGTAAGGATGGACCCGCGTGTCATGCCGTCTCACTTTAGTAGCCATTGCACCTAGATCGTAACAGGTCCACAAGGTTAGAAACCGTTTGCTTTGAGGAAGGAAAAAACAGTCATCTTTTACAGTAATAACATTCACATTTTAACCATCAGGACTAATAATGTTTGGATTACACTATTCACTGAACATAATACAGAATATGGTACATATACACAATACATATCTTTTTCTTTACATGTAGAAAAACTTGGTAGAAAAAAAATAATACATCTTTTTGGAGATTTGCTTTAAAAATGTTATAACTTAAGAAGTAGAATTCCACAGTGCTCAGAGATACATGGAGGTGGTAAAGGGTTGGGGGTGCTGGGCTGTCTACAGGAATAATGTGAATCTCCCTGCGGGATCCAGAAGGGAACCAAGAGAAATTTGTCTCTTTATTTTGAAAGGTGGGGAAATCCAATCCAGCTCTGATGGTACCGGTAATTGAATCGTGGCAGACACCACCTGCCTCTCCTCCTCTACTTCATTTTCTCCTTCCAGCTTTCACCATTTCTCTCCTGGTCAATCTGCTCACTCATGGCAGAGCCCGTCATTTTCCCACCTATATCTGTCACAACTGATTTTCCCCCTGCTGCAGAGGTTGACACGGCTTCATATGCATGACACAAACAAACTGTTTGCGCGATGTGGGATATGCAAGCCTTATTATAAAAAGTGATGTGTGTAGGGATTAAAAAAACAAAAACAAATCTCCTAGAGGAAACGGGCGTAATTATCTGACGTCGAAACTCGACAGGATGTTGTTCTCAGTGTTATCAGCAGGTTTTGGATTGAAGTTAATGCAACTATTTACAGTGAATTAAAAATGTCCACACATCTCTAGCAAAAGGATGAATTTTTTTTTTCACATGAAATGTAGCCTAAAGGTAAAATAATCATTTTTTTTAAGCCTGCCTTCTCTAGGTTAGCCCTCTTTGTTTAAGCTAAAGTCTGGTTTATACTCAGAAACCAGGTTGTCTGCGTGTGTCGCAGTTAAAGCAGATATGCCCCCGCCCCTACCGTCCAAAATTGTACGTGACCGCAGACAGGAGGCCTCTCATTGGTCAAATCTACATCCGCTCTACACTAAGCTTATTTCCTGTTTGGTACCTTACCAGCTTGTTTTGTATGACCGCCAATGCAGAAAACGACTTGTGAAGATGGACCAGCTGGAAGAGCGAGGTGCGGGAGAACACTGAGACCCTTTTTCCACCTGCAACCCCGCTCTTTTTCGCCCTCATATCCCCCCTCCTTTATCGCACAAACTTGCCCCTTTCATTTATCCTCTTCCTCACTGCCTCGGCCGTATCTAGATCCACAGCTAGTTTGTGATTGTCCCTCTTGTGTTGTGGCATGGAATAACATAGCGCAGACCACGCTTCAAAATTGGGCATAAATCAAAAATATCTGCGTCATACCTGCAAAAAGCTCACTGCGACACACTGCTGCGGGAGTATAACCAGCCCTCGAGTATTTTTTCTGGGGCAAAGACATTAACCAAGCTGCTCATCTCATCAAAAAATAAAAAAAGATGAAGAAAAAACTGCTCAGGCAGGAGGCCAAAGGCCCAAAGCAACATCTAGTAAGTATCTTATACATACTAGCGGTGTGCATGAGATGAGAAATATTTCGAGATCAGCCAGTCAAAATCAATGTTGAACTTTTTATCCTTAATTAAAAAATGTATGTTTAATTATAAAACTATAGTTCACATCATAAAAGGACCGCAATGCTTACAATGAAGCAAGGTCAGGGTAGCATCATGCTTTGCAACAATTCTACTTTAGTCAAGGCTGAGATAAGAATGAACGGCTCCATAAACCGGGAATGTTGGCACAAACTTAACATCTAGAAAGCTAAAGCTTCACACCCACCCAAACTAAACATCTAAAATCAACAACAAAAAAGCTTCAGAGGAGGATTAACCTTTTGGACCGGAGCAGCCAAAGCCCCGCCACCTAATGAACATTTCATTTTTCAGGGCTAAAAGGTTTCAGCTGTGTTTTTCTTTGGAGATAAACAGGTTTTAGGTCGCATTAAAGATGAAACTTCTGGAATGATTCATCCTGCTCTCCTTTTACCAGGGGTGTGTAGACTTTATATTCACTGAGCAGACTCTGCAGGACCAAATGACCTGGCAGTGCCTGCATACAGGAATGCACGCAGCAGAGTAGAGTCAGTGTGAGAGGTGTGTTGCTGAAGGCACCAATCAATAGTGTGAGTAAATAAAATGGACTAAGCTGGTGTAACCCTGCAAGTTGAAGAGAGAAAAGCCAGTCAGCTGTCCCCTTCTGTTCTACATGGATCCCAGCTGCACCCATGATGCCCAGATCAACTGTAAAAAAAAAAGCTGCTGGCACACGCTCTTAGAGGAATTAGAGGAGTTTATGTCAAACAAAGATCGACAAACTGACTGGGCCTCTTTCGTCTCAACATTGGAACCGGGTTTACTTTACTTAGTACAACATATGCTGCACATGTCAGAACAATCAGCAGATGTCTCTTTGGTAGCAGATGTGTTAAGCTTTAAGCACCATTGAGAATAAGAATAATATGTGGAGCTAAATATTTAACTGTCCCTCCTGACAGAAACTAAGGGGATGTCAGGTAGAGGCATAGAAAGCTCAAGTTTAACAAGGGAGAAGCTAAGACAATGTGAGGAAGGGAGGGAGAAGAAAAAAGGACAGAGTGGAGGAATTTAATGAACACCCCCAGTGGGAGTGAGGGAGGGACTATCTCAAGGCATCAAGGCCTGCCTGCGGAGAACAGCGCACGGAAATGATTTCAAAAGCTGCAGAAATCCGAGGGGATCTGCCGCCAGACTGAATATGCCTCCAGGCCAGTGCATGAAAAGGTTAGAGAGCAGGCTGCATGTATGAAAGTGTGTTTCTGTCAGTGTGCCTCACTTCATACTGAGGCAGATTCTGCTATAAAACCCTGCAGAGAAGAGGCGATGTAAACCTGAGAGCGGATTTGTTTGGCCAGAGTGGAACTGAAACGCTGAAATAACCTCACTTAAGAGTAAAAAGAGTAAAATGAACAGCCCAGCGTTCTCACTGTAACGTTTGTCCCCCATCAGTTTACTGAAGTGTCCAAATGAGCCACACTGCTGGTCATCCCATCACCAAGAGCTCCACCAGCACATCCACCCTGTCAGTTTATCTGTTTTGATCTTCAGGTGGACACAATATATTTACCTTTCAACAAGTCCTGATTGTGGCTCATGGAAGCTGCGTCCAGTAACCCGATGCCGGGGTAAAAAAAGCTGCCCTCCTGTCCGGGCTGGCTAAAGTTGGCCGCTGTACCCAAGCTTCCCCAGGCTCTCTTACCTAGAACCCCACTGTGCTCGATGGGGTACTCCAGCAACGAGGTGGGTGCCAAGGCGTAGGGGTAGTCGTAAGGGGTGGTGTAGATTAGTCCGCCGTCCGGTGTGGGAGGCACCAAGGTGGGGGTGCCATTGGACAGCATGGCAGCCATCTGAGTGGGCCTTATGAGGTTCATGATGGGTGCCCCGCCCGGCGTCGGGGGCCGGAGTGTCGGTGGCTGCAACACCTGACCTGCGGGGGCTGCTATGAGGCGAGGGCCCTGAGCGGCCGCTGCCGCTGCTGCAAGAGAGAACGCAAGGGGGGCTGCCATAAGCAAGAGAGCAAAGGACAGGTACAGAGAGAAGGAAGGAAGACAAAGTGTGGCGTGGTTGGTCATTATCACAGATGGACAGAAAAGGGTGGAAACGCAGAGGAGGAAAAGAAAGATGAGTGGGAGGAGGGGGGAGGACAAAAAGAGGAGAGGAGCAAAAAGGAAAAATTAGTCCATGCAATGATCATGGTGGTGAACCACAAAAGCGACAGTCTGTTGCAAAATAAAAAGTAATCAATACAACAAAATTAACACAGCCCAAAAAAAAAAAGAAAAAGACCCTCACACCACAACAGAAAGAGCACAAAATACAGCTTCCATCCCACCCATCACCACAGCAGCAACAGTCTGTAATGGGAACAGCACAGTGAGGTAGACACACATACCAACAGGAGTGACTGCAGGTATCAGCAGAGGACATTTGGACGGTTAGCCACAGCGGAAACATTTAAGGTATTAAGGTCATCACTGGAACATATTGCTAATCAATTAAACCTTAATGGATTGTCGTCGCTGTCAGCAGTCAACTTCTGTTGGATGTGAAAAACATTTCTGAGCAGGCTATAGATAGGGGAGCCTATTCATAGGACCCTCCTATCTTGGCAGTGTTGCAGACTTTTCAGAAAACAAAAAAAACAACAAACAAGTTTCCCTAAAACGGTGGTTAGTGGCTAAGGAAGTGCAACAAATCAACAAAAAGGAAAGAAGTCACTTAAATTGATTGTTAAAATGCAATTTCACACACTAAAAAAAACAAAGCTTAATAATGAACTTTAAAATGATCTTAAATGTAAGCAGGAAGAAATAATCCAAACATGCATAAGTCGTGCTATAGGAGGTTAATGTGAGCTGCTGGCAAACATGCAGAATCACGCAAATGGAAACAAGCGATGAAGATGATCCTCAGGTGCTTCTCAAAAACTCAGAATATCAAGAAAAATAGTTTTTATTTCAGTAATTCCATTCTAAAAAAGTCAAATTCATTTTATTTATAATCCACTTGAAAGAACGACATTCAGAAAACAAATTTCTAATTAATTTAATTAATCAATGAAAAGTTGTTTAATTACAATGAAGATTTGGATTAATAAAAAAACTAATCCACATCAATTATACTGTAAGGGGACAAAAAGGCCACATCATTTACCGAAATATCTGGCTTCGCTCAGATGTCTTGCTAAATGATGTGGCCATGGCAGTCATACTAATTTAAACCATGTAAGTGCGAATCAGTCTGGGGAAAAAAAAAAAAAAAGGCAGCGCTATAGGTAACTGCCTGGGACCTGGGAAGCCATAAGAATGCAATTAGAATGTAAATTGTAGTTGAAAATAAAGAAGCTTGATTAATAGATTGCTTATTGGAAAGGAGCAGTTGGGGCCTAATTTCAAAGTTGGGACCAGATCAGAGGAAACCGATTTCAACCAATCAGATAAGGATTTGAAGCATAATGGAATGACTATACAACAGGCCATTGTTGATACCTTATTTGTTACTAATCTGGTTACATTCAAAAACCAAATCAGCAGAAAAGATTGAATCAAATATCCACAGGATCAAGATGGCATATTTTATACATTTTATAATGCATATGAAAACATACAAAAAGATTAAAGTAGACGTGCCTAGGAGGAAACCGGATAATCATGTTTGGTTCCTGAAATGTTAACAAGTATCTTGGTTACTTGGTGTGTGGATTTCTTTTAGTGTTTTCCACTTGTGCAATTTTTTCTACCACAGTTTCTCCTTCCAATTAACTTTCTACCAATATAATTTGGCTACAGCACTGTCAAAGCTTTTTCTACTATATTCTTCTAATTAATTACTGAAATAAGTTTCACTTTTTATGATATCAAAGTTACTGAGAAGCTCCTTTGTATGGATAGAAAAGGACAGGATGAATGGATACTTGTTGAGAGGGTAAAAAACATCAGGTGTAGCTTCGACATAATGTTGGTTTGACGTCTGCTTTGGTCTCAGTTAATATGACAGCATGGAAACATAAAATCTTGTTACAAGTAAATCTGCTGTTAGTTTTCAAATAAGAGACTTGTTTGGTCTGGGTAAAACATGGTGCATGTTATGAGAATATTAGCCAGGGACGCTTTCAAGCAGATCCTTCACATGACTTACGTGTTTTGACGTTGTTGTCTCTGTACGTCCCGTTGAGTATAGCCAGCTCCATCAGCTGCATCTTCTTCAAATTGTCTTCCCCCTCAGCCTGAGGATAAAATAATACATATTTCAGCTACAGAAACCAGAAGCTAATCCCAACAAGAGAAGGAACCTTCATGTCAGCCGGTTTCCTCTCTCCACTAGAGCTGCTGAATCATTCTAACACGACATGATAATGTTCTCTACAAGTGCTGCCCGGACTGGGCTTAGTCAGACATGGATGGGGATAAGCTAAAGTGCCGTTGTCATTCCAGAGTGGCTTGTTGTTGCTAAAATGCTGACAGAGACATTAAGTGTGAGAATTCATATTCATAATCCATATCAGAATGATAATTACTGTAATTTTCTTTGCTCCCTTGTGCGCAATGAAACTTGCAAAAACCGCCCTAGCTAATGTCAGTCCTGTCAATTAATGTTTGGATAAATAAATACAAAAGCAGCAGCCACTGTCATTATTGCCAAATTAGGAGACTGAAATTATTCACGGAAAGCAATTAAGATAGCACCCCCACCCTCCTCCTAACACCCGTCTACTCCTCCCTCCCTCCCTCCGCCAACACCTTGAAACTCCATTTCCCCCCCGAGCAACCACACACTCAATAACCATGACAACAGAAAAGGCCCTGTGATTTTACAGGTAGTGCATCATATTTGGCCGGGCTGTTATCTGAATCATTTTTCAAAGTGAAGAGAACAAAAGCGATAACGGTAAGCTTTACTGACATCAGTCCAACCTTAAGCAACTATTGATTTAATACCTTTTATATACTACCCCCCCATAAAAAAGAATATGGGACTGGTTGCTCCATTGTGCACATTGCATCTTCATGTGATGGGCAACGGGAAGAAATAAAAGGCAGCAGACACTCCTCCATTCAATCCATCAACACAGAGCCGCGTCGACAAATTCGTAATTCAACAACAGCATGTTGCATTCAGAGGATGATAAGGCAAGAATGGATGCGGAGAGAGGAGGGAGAAAAAAAAAGAAAGAAAAGAGGGCTCAGAGTTAAGTCCTCCCCTGAGACCCCTCGTCAACACAGCCACAGTGAGAGAAAGAGACTGACAGAGGCTGGTCTCCCCAGACTAAATACAAGACAGAGTCTGCAGAGCAGTGGCTTTATTCAGCTGCAACGCTTAGTTTATTGCAGAACTTCCACCCAAAACATTTTCCTCAGCTGAGATGTAACCGCTTTCTTCTAAAAACACCTGGGGGATAATTTCACTCTTCCATTAGAAACACAAAGATTTTGGATCAAGGTAGATGATTAACCAACAATAAAACAAATGCTTGTGTAGTTAATAATCTTTAACTATAAGGCATCAACCTCAACAGCAAGCAAAGTGGTCTCAATCTGTGCTACAACTACAGCTGGCAAAAAGGGACATTATTAGCAATGTAATAATTGTTAACTAGGATAACAGGTCACCAGGCACACATGGCTAAATTGATGAATTACTCAACAACTATGATTAATTTATCAGAAACTTCTAAAACTCAAACTTTGTTCAGCTTCCCCTTGGAGGAGTCAAAAATGCCAAAAAGTTTGAATTGAAGTTAATATTAGGCATTTCCCTTTGAATTCCTAAATTCAGTGCATATTAGAGTACATTTTTCCAACTTAAACTCAAAGGCTCATAGGATAGACTTGATTTGGGTTCATTGTAAACAAGGATAACAAGAGCTTATCATAATATTTTACAGCCAGACAAAAAATGTAAAATTATAAGCATATCAGGGCTGAAACAACTGATTGAACTTATTATACATAATCGTCAGCTAATTTAGCAATGAACTAATCATTAACAAACTAATATATTGTACTGGCTGAAAGAGAAAACCAGTCAGACCAGTTATTATGTCAAGGTTGTTAAAATATATCAACATTTTGCCCCTAATTCACTGACAGTAGGCCAGGCATTCTAGAACATAAAGTCATACTTCAACTGTATATTTTTCTTAGCCCAAGTTTCATCTCTGTCATTGTGTTGTATCAAAGCCTGGACATTTAAGACTATGCAGACAATACGTCCCCCAAAAAACAAACCTAATGCCCAATGGAAACTTTAAAGAGGAAGAAAAAGAAGTGAACACGAAATTGGATAAATGTTATGTTGTCTTTGTAAAGCTGGTGCATTTGCAGGGTAAGGGCAGAGAACGACATATTTTTGCTGCAAAAATCAAAACATTTTCTTTCCTCCTATTCGAAGGGTTGCAGGAGGTGAGAATCTGTCTGAGGAACATTCTGCTCAGTAAGAGATCAGGACATCCAGACAGGATATATTTTCTATAAAGAGCAGCTTATGTGCATCTATGTGCTCTTTATTGTGAAAGATGTCCAGGTCTGTGAGGGTTAAACAGGCACACGGCACAAAGGGACCGCAATCCATCCCGCTCAGTTTAGGTGGCAAGCTGCCTGTTGCGACAGGAAGGAGGCAAAATAGAGGACAAAACGACGAGAGGAGCTCAGCTCCTGCAGTTAGTATGAGGAGCCTGCTGCTCTGTGGAAGAGATGATACAGCCCTATTTTCACTAACAGTTTGTCAATGAAGCCAGCCAACACTGATGGATTACCGATTGTTTAGATCGAAAACAAGCTGATATTCTCTAAGAAATAATTAAAACCAGCTTTACACTCATTTTCAGGCCAAAATTAATAATCAGATTTCCAGAGAAGAACTGAACTTTAGTTAGAAGTTTAGTTGAAAAACTTGCTATCAAACTACTGCTTCAAAAAAACAAATGTATGGATGGACGGCCATTTTCCCCCCCACTCTTTGTTTGCTACTTTTTCCAGAACAAACAAGTATCCTTTTAAACCCTCTACATTTCCTGCAGTCTACCATCTAGATCAGGAAAAGTCTTCCAGAAATAAAGGATGTGAGAAGGAGATTCAGCGACAGATGATGAAGTCAAAGTGAACGCATACAGGATCATAAAGCAAACGATGCTGCTGCTGACTCTGCTGTTCATAAAGCTGGACCAACTTTCATCACGTCTCCTCAGGTGTTCACGGGCAGCCCACTTTAATGAATGATGAACAACACTGGGAAGAGCAGTTCTCTGTTTAATGTTAACGTGCTCAGGGTGTTTGCACAATTAACACACTCCTCAGTCAGCATGAAGGACCCGTAATGCGCATATCACTCAGAGGATGCTGTTTCTGTGACTGCAAGACGAGACAAGAGTTTGTAATCCTCCGACTGCAGAATACCTCAGAGAGAAAGAGATGCTGGGGAAGAGAATGAGGGGAACGAGGGGAGGAAGTTTTTCCTTTACCCTCCCATTCACACATGCGTGCGACAAACTTACACACCCTGGTGTTGCTGTCCATCAGTGGAAAAGCCACTCAATAAAGCAGCTCTATCCACAAGAATCTGATTCAATCAATGAGGCCTATTTGTGAAATCAGCAGAGCGGTAAAAGCTATCAGAGAGAAGCAAGACAGACGGACGAGGGGAAGGAGGGAAAAATAGGACGGGAAAGAGGGAGAGATGGGAGTGTGATGAGCTAAAGTAGGTGAGCCATGTCCTACCTGACAAGCCTGCGATGAGGTCAGCTGACATAAACTACATCATTGTCACAACTCTTTCTCTACAGCGGAGGCATCCAAATGTCGTCCCACTGACTGGATCTGGACCAAAATGATCTGGACCATCTTGATTAGGATTTGAAAATAAAAATCTTATACAGGAAAATGTCTTTAATGTGTGCAGGCCCTCTGGAACATCCTGCCTCTTTGCGACCACTCAGCCAGCAGACTAAAGACAACTATGACTCTAGACCAGAAGAGAGAAGAAAGAAACTAAATATTTTCTGCCTATGCACCTTTAAACCTACTGGTTTAATGTGTGCAGAAACATTCATATTCAAATAATCACTCAGAGTAAGGTAGAACTAAATATCCTGATAGAACCAAATGTGATAGATCTAATAGTTTACTGGCACAGTAATTAGTTGCCCATCAGCATATAGGATTTTAAATCAACCACCACAGCACGACTAGTATCAGTAAGACTATTGAAGTACAAAAATAAAGAAAAAAGTTTGTTTATATTATAGGAAGTTGTAATAGAATTTTATAAAAATGTAATAGTGAGTTATAGAGTGGGGAAGAGTCTCAGTCTTCCCGGTCATAGTCATTCCAAAAACATTAAACAATCCACTGGACTTGGTTTCCAAGTTTAGAGACGTTTCGCTTCCCATCCAGGAAGCTTTTTCAATTCAAATTCGATGCTTTATAGAGTTAACCAAAACCACTCTATGGTCCACTCTATAAAGCCTCAAACTCAACACGAATTTTGACATTTTGAATTGAAAAAGCTTCTTGGATGGGAACCAAACCTCTCTAAACTTGGAAACAAAGTCCAGTGGGTTGTTTAACCTTTTTGTAGTGAGTAATATACAACCAACAGCATCAACACTGATGATTGAGTAGAGATACACCGATCCAATAACATCTGTATCAGTTTCGAAATTGTTGAAAACTGTAGATTAGGTACTGGTGAAAATGTATTCAGTCTATTTCTGTAAAAAAAAAAAAAAAAATGTAAGTTGGGTTAAAGATCTTCTGAACAGCAGAAAATTGTACTACTTTATGGGTTTTTGATTAAATATAGTCAATTCAGACAGTTTCGGTTTAACATTTGTTTTGAGAATCCTCTTTTTTTAAATTCCCGTTTACGTGATTTAATCATTCTTTGTTTTAATTTTTCTGACCGTAAAAAGAAGAGCTGCCTTTTAAGATATTTAGGTATACATTCATACATATAGAGGAGTTTATGACAGCCTCTTAACATGTCAACAGTAATCAGGATAAAATTAAGGCAAACAGAGCTCTGATTTTGAAACAACATCAGGATCTGCAGATATCAAAATTTAAGTGTCGGTATCAAAAGTGATAAAATGTGGATCCGTGCATTCCTTACATAAAAAATGACTAGTCAAAAATAGTGCATGGTCGTTTTTGTAACGGTCAAGCAAAACAGATGTTTTCTGGTAAATCTCCATGAAATGCTATTGTGATCTTTTCTCTTTGTTCTGTA